TTATATTTCATCCAAGATAGAATTTTTTACCCCTTTGGCAGCTCATGGGATATTCAGTACTCTTCTCCAATGCCACAATTCAAAGGCATCACATTTTCTGTCTTCTTTAATCATTGTCCAACTTTCAGATGCCTAGGAAGCAACTGAAAATGTCTTGGATTGGGCACACCTGAATCTTTAAACTGATGTTGTTCTTTAACACTTTGGAGAGGTCCTTGGTGTCAGATTTTCCCAATGCTGCATATCTTTTGATGATTTCTTTGAGCTTTGGTGCTGGAGAAGAGTATTGAATATACCATGGACTTCTAGGAGAACAAACAAGTTCGTCCTGGAAAGGGTAAAGCCAGGCTGCTCCTTGGAGGCAAGGATTCTGAAGCTTTATCTGAAATACTTTGGACATGTTGCAAGGAAGCACCAGTCCTTGGAGAGGGACAATATGCTTGGGGGGGGGGGGGAATAGAGGGACTGCTCAGGAGAGGAAGACCCTCGATGAGATGGGTTGATTCCATCACTGGGTTAATGGGGGTGGGCATGTTGGAGACAATAGGATTGTCAAGGGATAGAGCCGGTTTTAGGGTCGTTATGAGTCACAGCGACTTGATGGCACATAACAACAAGAACTACCATAGATAGCAATTTCTTGTTATGCATCAGAAATCTGGACAATGACTAAGGACAATAGAAGAAGAATTGATGCCTTTAAGTTGTGGTGCTGGAAAAGAGCACTGAATATACCATGGACTGCTAAGATAACAAATAGGTCTGTCCTGGAGAGGGTGAAACCAGGCTGTTCCTAGGAGGCAAAGATGTTGAAGCACCATCTGACATATTTTGGGCATGTAGTAAGGAGGGACCAGTCCTTGAAGGACATCATGTTTGGAAGGAGGTGGTGAGAGCACAAGAGAAGATGACCCTGGATGAGATTAATTGACTCAGTGACTGGGATACTGGAGTTCAAGTGTTGGAGACAGTGAAATTTGCTCAAGTTAGAGCAGGATTCAGGTCTGTTGTACATAGTTGCTAGGAGTCACAAGTGACTCAAAAACACATAACAACAACTACCTTGGATGTTGATTGTGTATCTAAGTAAAATGAAATTGTTGACAACTTGAATTCTCTATCTACTATGATGTTGCCTACTGGTCCAGTCGTGAGGCTTTAGACTAGTAGAGGGTCAGCAAAAGAGATGAAGATTCTCAACAAAATAGTTTGACATGATGACTGCAACAATGGGCTTGATTGTGCATGGCAGAGATTGTGAAGGTGAAGGATAGTACAAGGTTTCCATCTGTTGTTCATGGGATTGCCATGAGTCATAGTCAACTTGGCAACATCAAACAATAAAACTAGAGAGAGTGATGTATCTTGTGTAACTTTTTTAAAAAAATTATTATTAATTTTAATGAAAATTTACAGAGACTTTGGATTTCCATTCATTCATTGTTGCACTTGTAACTTTTAAATTACAATCTGTCTTAAATATAAGACAGTCATTGCTTAGTGTAATGATGAAAAACTATAAATTCTACTAAATAGAGAGAAATAGACTCAAGAAAGAATACATATAGTGTAGGCTCAAAGACTCCAAACAGTCTTTATACATTTATCATTCTGTTGTTGTTGTTGTTGTTGTTGTTGTTGTTGTTGTTAAGTGCCATTGAGTCAGACGACTCATAGAGACCCTATAAACGAAAGACTTGAACACTTGATGTATAACTTTCATCATTTCTCCGAGTTCATAGAGTTTCTGGAGGCAAGCTATTTCAGAAGGGGATACCACTCCTGCTTTATCATCCTAATTTTCTCTTTATTTGATGCAATTTTTTATGTATTCAGAACATGAAGCAGTAAATATGAAGATTAATAGAACCTATCACTTTTTTCATCTATTCTAAAAAAAATTACTTGTCCTTCTTAACTCGTGTATCATATGTGTTCATACTGAAACATTAACATCTTGACAATAATATTAACAGCATGATCTTTTGGTTCACTCTTAATTACTAAAAGAAATAAATTATTTCCGTATATAGCACGCTGCTTCAATTCAGGTCACAGAGTTAAAATATGTTCTGTAATTGCTTAACATTCCTATGTGCAACCAATGAAAATGAAAGAAGATGAAAATTCTCTTATCTATAAGAAGTAATTAAATAATCCTCAAACACACCAGTGTGAACTGTATTCATATAAATTATTCCTATGTACAATCACTTGTTATGCATCAGAGTTGGACAATGACCAAGGAGGATAGAAGGAGAATTGATGCCTTTGAGCTGGAGTGCTGGAGAAGAGTATTGAGAATTTCATGGACTGTGAGGAAAACAGATTTGACCTGGAAAAAGTTAAACCGGGTGGCTCCTTGGAGGCAAGGATTCTGAGGCTCCGTCTAACATACTTTGGACATGTTGT